ATCTGAAAACCATGGACTCAGTCTTTCCAGCAGAATACTTTGCTATCATGCATCAGTGGACACCACACATTTCTTTAGTTGGAATACCACCACTGCAAACAATTACCTTGATTTATTAAATTTTAATGGAAGGATCGAAGGTAAAAGAAATGTGGGCTGATCAACTTCACACCCATTAGGGTAGCTGGTTTTTTTTTTTTTTAAGATTTTATTTACTTTTAGAGAGGAGAAGGGAGAAAGAGAGGGAGAGAAACATCAATGTGGGATTGCCTCTTGTGCACACCCTACTGGGGATTTGGCCAGCATGTATTCTAGGCCAGGAATCCAACCAGCAACCCTTTGGTTCGCAGGTTGGCACTCAATCCATTGAGTCACACCAGCCAGGGTCAGGATGGCTGTTATTAACACAGAAAAATAACAAGGAGTAGAAGAGGATGAAGAAAAACTGAAACCCTTGTTCACTGTTGGTGAAAGTGTAAAATGATGTAGCTACTGTGGGCAACAGTTCAATGGTTCCTTGAAAAAGTAAACATAGGAAAAATAAGTAAACATAGTATTGCCATATGATCTAGCAATCTCATTTCTGGGTATATACCTAAAATAATTGGAAACAGGCACTCAAAGAGATATTTGTACTCCCATATTCATAACAACATTATTCACAATATCCAACAGGTAGAAGAAACCCAAGTGTCCATAACCATAACCAGATGAATGGGTGAAGAAAAAGTGATATATACATGCAATGGAATATTTTTCAGCCTTACATATGAATGAAATTCTTATAGATGCTGCAACATGAGTGTGAAATAAGCCAGACCCAAAGGAACAAATACTGTATGATTCTATTTACACGAACTACTTAGAAGAGGCAAATTCATAGAGTTAGAAAGTAGAAGAAAGGTTGCCAGGGGGAAGGGGGCAGGGCAATGGGGATTAGTGGTTAATGGAGACAGAGTTTCTGCTAGGATGTTGAAAAATTCTGGAGATGGATAGTGATGATGGTTGTACAACATTGTAAATGTACTCAATGCCACTGAATTGTATATTTAAACATGGTAAAAATGGTAAATTCTATGTTATATACATTTTACTACACCTTAAAAAAAAGAAGTGCAGGATGAGAAGAAAAAGTTAAACTGTCCCCTGATTATTATTTTGCTATAGTCCCAGAGGAAAAACAGCAAGGAAATTGAACTTTTCCTTGGAGAAGTGGTTCTCATTATAGGTGTTCCCTCATTTCTGATCTTGCTCCATTGCTCTCAAGACTTCTTTGTGGAATACCCTCTTTCTCCAATCTCCAACAGTGCAAATTGCCACCCAATTTTGGGAAACTTCACTTCCTATCTATTCACGTTGATGCTGTTCTAAGATCTATTCCCCACCCTGTGTCAGTCAGCTATGCTGCATAACAATCAAAATAATCTCAGTGGTAACAACAACAAATGTTATTTTTCTTTTAGTGTTTTCAAGTGAGCAAGGTTTTGACTGATCATCCATGATATTGATGGTGATACAATCAAGGTACAGAACATTTCTCTTACCCAAAGATCCTTCATCGTGCTCTCTTATAGTCACACCCCTTCCTTAACTCCTGACAGCAACTAATATGTTCCCCACTTCTATAATTATGTCATTTCAAGAATGTTATATAAATGTAATCATATAGTATGAAACCTTTTGGTTGTCAAGAGGGTATAAACCCTGGTCTTTTACCTGTTGGAAGGTTGGTTAGTGAAATTGAGGTCCCTGGGTAGACAACCTTGGTCATATCCTCTAACCATTGTGGGCCTTGCCCTTTCTGTTTCTCTTTATGGGTTATTTTTTATTTTATTTTTAATTTTTACTTACAGTTGACATCCAATATTATTTTATATTAGTTTCAAGTGTATAGCATAGTGGTCAAACATTTATATAATTTACAGAGGGATTCCCCCCATAAGTTTAGTACCCACGTGGCACTGTACACAGTTATTACAGTAGTATTAATTATATTCCTTATGCTGTACTTTACATCCCCATGAATATTTTGTAACTACCAATTTGTACTTCTTAATCCCTTCACCTTTTTTACACAGCCCACAATTTCCCTACCATCTGGAAACTATTAGTTTGTTCTCAGTATCTATGAGTCTGTTTCTGTTTTGCTTGCTGATTTATTTTGTTCTTTAGTTTTTACATATAAGTGAAATCATATGATATTTGTCTTTATCTGTATGACTTATTTCATTCAGCAAAATACCCTCTAGGTCTGTGTTGTTGCAATAGTAAGATTTCATTCTTTTTTTTTGGCTGAGTAATATTTCATTGTGTATATATATATGTACCACTTTATCCAATTGTCTGCTGATGTGCACTTGGGTTGCTTTCATATCTTGGTTATTGTAAATATGCTTCATATATATTTTTGAATTAGTGTTTTCGATTTCTTCAGATAAATATCCAGAAGTGGAATTGCTGGGTCATAAGATATTCTATTGTTAGTTTTTCAAGGAACCTCTGTATTGTTTTCCATAGTGGTTGCACCAGTTTGCAATCCCACCAATAATGCATGAGTATTCCCCTTACTCCACATCCTGGCAACACTTGTTTGTTGATTTATTGATGATAGCCATTCTGACAGGTGTGAGGTTTTAATTCTTCTTGTCGTTTTAATGTGCATTTATCTGATGATTAGTGCCATCTTTTCATATGTCTATTGGTCATCTGTATGTCTCTCTTTAGAGAAACTTCTATTTAGGTCCTCTACCCATTTTTAATTGAATTATTTGGGGGGTTTTGTGTATATTTTAAGAAGTATATGTGTTAAGGTCTTTATAAATTTTGGATAATAACCCTTTATCAAGTTTATCATTAGTGTATATCTTCCCCCAATTGGTAGGTTGTTTAAATTTTGTTGATGGTTTCCTTTGCTGTGCAAAAAATTTTTAGTCTAATGTAGTCCCATTTGTTTATGTTTTCTTTTGTTTATCTTGCCCAAGGAGATATATAAGAAAATATTGCTAAAAGCAATGTCTGAGAGTTTACTGCCTATGTTTTCTTCTAAGAGTTTTATGGTTTTGAGTGTTATAGTTAAGTCTTTAATCCATTTTGATTTTATTCTTGTATTTGGTGTAAGAAGGTGATCTAGTTTTGTTTTTTTGCATGTATCTAATTTTCCCAATACCATTTAATGAATAGCCTGTATTTACCCTGTTGTATGTTTTTGCTTCCTTTGTCATATATTAATTGACCATATAGGCATGGTCTTATTTCTGGACTCTGTTCTGTTCCATTGATCTATGTGTCTGTTTTCATGCCAATACCATGTTGTTTTGATGACTATAGTCTTGTAATATAGTTTGATATCAGGTAGTGTGGTACCTCCAACTTTGTTCTTCTTTCTCAAGATTGCTATGGCTATTTGGGGTCTTTTGTGGTTCCATATAAATTTTAGTAGTTCCATATACTTGTTCTAGTTCTGGAAACATACCACTGGTATTTTGATATGGATTGCATCAAATCTATAAATTGCTTTGGATAGTATAGACATTTTTACCAATGTTACTCTTCCTACCCATGAGCATGGTATATGTTTTCTTTCTTTCTTTTTTAATCATTTTTATTAATGTTTGAATACAGTTGTCTCCATTTTCCCACCACTACTTTCCCCTACCCTGCCCACCCCCACCTCCCACCCTCATCCTACTCCTTTGGCTTTGTCCATGGGTCTTTCATCCATGTTCTTGTGACCCTTTCCCTTCTTTTCTCCATTATCTCTCTCCCCCCTCCCTTCTGGTTACTATCAATTTGTTCTTAATTTCAACGTCTCTGGTTATATTTTGCTTGCTTGTTTGTTTTCATTTATTTGTAACTCTTTCAATTTCTTCTCAATTATAATTTTTTGAGTACAGGTCTTTTACCTTCTTGGTTAAATTTATTCCTAAGTATTTTATTTTTTTGATACAATTGTAAATGGGATTGTTTTCTTAATTTCTCTTTCTGATAGTTTGTTATTGGTATGTAAAAATGCAGCCTATTTATGAATATTGATTTTATATGCTGCTACTTTACTTAGTTTATTATCAGTTTTAATAATTTTTTGGTGGAATATTTAGGGTTCTCTCTGTATAGTATTATGCCATCTGCAAATAATGACAATTTTACTTCTTCCTTTCCAAATTAGATGCTTTTTATTTCTTTTTCTTGTCTTATTGCTGTGGCTAGGACTTCCGGCACTATGTTGAATAAAAGTTGAAAGAGGACATCCTTGTCTTGATCCTGATCTTAAGGGAAACACTTTTAGCTCTTCACCATTGAATATGACATTAGCTGTGTGTTTGTCATATATGGCCTTTATTAAGTTGCAGTATGTTCCTTCTATTTCCACTTTGCTGTGAGTTTTATAGGGTTATTTTCAGAGTTGAATAAGTCAATGTATGTGAAAAGAATTTATAATATTATAATTCCATATTTGGTAGAAAGTAAAGTAGGAGTTCAGTTTAGTGCTCTGTTATGTTGTTCATTCATTCATGCATTCACATATTTTTTAAGTCTCAGGTGCAAATGAAAGAATGGAGTCATGCTTCGGAAATCTACTCTAGGAAGAGCTGGGCAGCTGGGACTGTATGCTAGTCTTTCCTCAGCTCTCCTCTTCAGTTCCTCCCTGTAGCCACTATTGGTTTGATATAGACCAATATGCTTTTGAAACAAACACAATTGGAATGGAATACATTAACTCCTACAGATTAATAGTGAGGTGCCCAGAAAACAAATGGCTTGTTGGATTTGGAAGCCTTGGTAAATTTATGGGAAAGATTTGCAGTGGACAAGCTGCAGATTGTTGTTCTGAACTCCCTCCTAAAAATGACTGCCTGTACCTCACCTATGGACTATAAATTGTGCTTTGCCTTCCTGAATTTGAATCCCCATTGTGTAGCCCCAGTCTGTCCACAGTAAGTCCTTATGTGGTAGAATCAACGTAGTTGCAATGATGAGCACTCTTGGTTTTGTATTTGCAGGTTGGAGCTCTCCCTCGACTATGTGATGTGCTACGTGTGCAGAGGGATGAACAAGACCAGTGCCTGCAGGAACTCTCCAGAGAGAGGACAGGAGACCTAGCCACGGTGCAGCCAGTCCTGGGTACGTAGCCCACCTTTGTCCAGTTGTGACATGGATCGTGTCCAGTCCTACTATGTCAGGGGAAGCTTCCTTCCAGATAATCAGCTGGAAGGAAGGGTCTAGGGTGATTCTGGGAATCAGTCTACACACACCTAAAAAGCCAGAGCATCCCCACTCTTTCTTTCTCTGGGCTAGTGCACATAGCCAAGGTTTTTGTACCATTAATTTCCACATGATAACTTCACCAAGGTGAGAGTTTGGTAAGAATTACTTGTCAAGGCAATGTATTCACTCACCTCCAATGCTAGTTTGATGAGTGAGGTAGTTAGAACAGCAGGGTGGAGCCAGAGAAACCTGGGGTCACTGGCTGTGTGACCATCAACAAATTATTTAACCTTCTGAGCCTCAGTTTTCTGGTTTATAAAGTGGTTGTCTACTTTAGAATTATAATAATACATGAGATAACATATGTTAAATACAGGTGTTTTTAATACTATTAATTTAAACATTATTATTACTAATCAAGACTTAAAATATTAATTTGATACTTAAATGTTAATTTTATTTTCAGTCCCTTAACTTATCTTCTTTGTTTTCCCAGATCTAAGGGCCAGGAGGGGTTGCATTAAGAAAAAAATCCATACGGGTATTCAAATAAATACTTGTACGTGTGTGTTCATAATAACACTAGCTAAAGTAGCCAAGAGGTTGAAACAACTCAAGTGTCTGTCAGTTGATGAATGGATAAACAAAATGTGTGTACATCCAATGGAATATTGTTCAGTCTTTTAAAAATGTATTATTCCCTGGCTGGCGTAGCTCAGTGGATTGAGTGCAGGCTGGGAACTAAAGTGTCCCAGGTTCGATTCCCAGCCAGGGTACATTCCTGGGTTGCAGGCCATAACCCCCAGTAACCGCACATTGATGTTTCTCTCTCTCTCTCTCTCTCTCTCTCTCTCTCTCTCTCTCTCTCTCTCTCTCTCCCTCTCTCTCCCTCCCTCCCTTCCCTCTCTAAAAAATAAATAAAATCTTTGTAAAAAAATTATTATTATTGTATTACAGTTGTCCCAATTTTTTTCCCTTTACTTTCCTCCACACAGCCTACCACCCACCCCCACAGTCAATCCCCACATCATTGTCCATGTCCATGAGTCATTAATACATGTTCTTTGACTAGTCCCTTCCCCTGCTTTCCACCTTTATCCCCCTTCTCTCTCCTCTCTGGTTGCTGTCAGTTTGTTCCATGTTTCCATGCTTCTGGTTCTATTTTCTCATTAGTTCATTTTGTTCATTAGATTCCTTTTACAGATGAGATCATACAGTATTTGTCTTTCACCAACTGGCTTATTTCATAAAATAAAAGTGCTGGCTTAGCATAAAATTCTCCAGTTTCATCCATGCTGTTGCAAAAGGTAGGAGTTCCTTCTTTCTTCTGCGTAGTATTCCACTGTGTAAACATACCACAGTTTTTTATCCACTCATTTACTGATGGGCACTTAGGAGGTTTCCAGCACTTGGCTATTGTAAGTAATGCTGCTATGAACATAGGGATGCTTAAATCTTTTGAATTGGAGATTTGGGATTCTTAGGGTATAATCCCAGCAGTGGAATTGCTGGGTCAAAAGTTTTTCATTTTTAGTGTTCTGAGGAAATTCCATACTGTTTTCTCACAGTCATTTAGTGTAACAAAAGCACATAACATAAACTTTACAATCTTATTTATTTCTAAGTGTACAGTGCAGTAGTGTCAAGTGCATTCACTTTGTTACACAATCAACCTTCAAAACTCTTTTTATCTTGCATAGTTAGAACCCTACACCCATTCAACAACAACTCCGTTTTCCCCTTCTGTTATCCCCTAGAACCCATCATTCTGCTTTCTGTTTCTGTGAATTGAACTGTCCTATGTACTTCATGTAACTGGAATCATATAGTATCTGTCTTTTTGTGATTGGCTTATTTCATTTTTCAAAATGGTCTCAAAGTTCATTAATGTTATAGCATGTAGATGAATTTCCTTCCTTTTTAAAAAATATATTTTATTGATTATGCTTTTACAGTTGTTCCATTTTTCCCCTTTATTCTCATCCACCCTATACTCCCCACCCACCATCATTTCCCCAACATATCATGTTCATGGGTCATACATGTAAGTTCTTTGGCTTCTATATTTCATACACTATTCTTAAACTCCCCCTGTCTATTTTGTACCTACCATTTAGGCTTCTTATTCCCTGTACCTTTTCCCCCATTCCCCCACCCCCCCTCAGCTTCCCTGCTGATAACCCTCCCTGTGATCTCTATTTCTGTGAATCTGTTCCTGTTCTAGTTATTTGCTTAGTTCGTTTTTGTTTTTGGTTTTGTTTTTTTTTTAGGTTTGGTTGTTGATAGTTGTGAGTTTGTTGTCATTTTACTGTTCCTATTTTTGATCTTCTTTTTCTTAGATAAGTCTCTTTAACATTTCATATAATAAGGTCTTGGGGATGATGAACTCCTTTAACTTGACCTTATCTGGAAGCACTTTATTTGCCCTTCCATTTTAAATGAAAGCTTTGCTGGATAGAGCAATCTTGGATGTAGGTCCTTGCCTTTCATGACTTTGAATAGTCCCTTCTTGCCTGCAAGGTTTCTTTTGAGAAATGAGCTGGTAGTCTATGGGCACTCCCTTGTAGGTAACTGGCTCTTCTCTTGCTGCTTTTAAGATTCTCTCCTCTTTAATCTTGGGTGATTTAATTATGATGTGCCTTGGTATATGCTTCCTTGGGTCCAACTTCTTTGGGACTCTCTGAGCTTCCTAGACTTCCTGGAAGTCTATTTCCTTTGCCAGATTGGGGAAGTTCTCCTTCATTATGTTTTCAAATAAGTTTCTGATTTCTTGCTCTTCCTCTTCTCCTTCTGGTGCCCCTATGATTTGGATGTTGGAATGTTTATGGTTGTCCCAGAGGTTGCTAAGCCTTTCCTCATGTTTTTGAATTCTTGTTTCTTCATTCTGTTCTAGTTGAATGTTTATTTCTTCCTTCTGCTCCAAGCTGTTGATTTGAATCCAGGTTTCCTTCCCTTCGCTGTTGGTTCCCTGTACATTTTCCTTTTTTTTTTTTTTCACTTTTCATAGCCTTCATTTTTTCCTCTATTTTGTGGCCATACTCAACCATTTCTGTGAGCATCCTGATTATCAGTGTTTTGAACTGTGCATCAGGTAGGTTGGCTATCTCTTCGTTGCTTGGTTGTGTTTGTTCTAGAGCTTTAATCCATTCTTTTATTTGGGCCATGTATTCTTGTCTCAGTGCACCTTTTATGCAGTAAGGGGCAGAGCCCTAGGTATTCTCCAGGACAGGGCAACACACATTACTGCATTATGGCACTGTATGTGGGGGAGGAGCCCAAGAGAAAACAATGCCACTTGCTCAGCTCTTGGTTGGCTTTCAGCCACTTCCTCCTCTGCCCACAAGCAAATTAGGCCCTTCTGGTGCTAATTCCTAGGTAGATGGGTTTGTATACCTTCTAGAACCTTGTAGGTCTCTTCAGTGAACTTTCCTGTGAGGCTGGGACTTTCTCCTGCTGTCTCAACCCCCACAAGTTTTTTCAGTTAGAGGTTTTGAGGCTTTATTTTCCCCCATTGGAACCCTGGGTTGTGCAGTCTGTCTTGCTCCCCAGTTGTTCCTCCTGGTTTACCCGCATGCAAATATGGGACCACCAGCCACTGTCTCACCTGCACTGGTCCTCCAGCTACTGCCTTACCGGTAGTCCTCTCTGCCCCAGCTGCCCATCTCTGCCCCTCCTACCAGTCTGGGTGAATGTTTCTTCTTTAACTCCTTGATTGTCAGACTTCCATACAGTTCTATTTTCTGACAGTTTTATTTTCTGGCTGTTTTTTGTTTTTAAATTTGTTGATGTCTTTCTTTTGGTTGTGCACATAGGCAAAGTCTATCTACCTATGCCTCCATCTAGGCCAGAAGTCCAGAATTTCCTTCCTTTTTAAGGCTGAATAATACTCCACATTTTCTTTGTCCATTCATTCATTGAAGGACACTTGAGTTGCTTCTTCCTTATAACTATTGTGAATAATGCTGCTGTGAACATCGGTGTGGAAATACCTCTTGTAAATCCCTGATTTCAATTTTTGGGTGTATTTACCAAGAAGTAGAATTGCTGGAATCATACCATAATTTTATTTTTAATTTTTTGAGGAACCACCATACTGTTTTCCATAGTGGCTGCACCATTTTACATTCTCATCAATAGTGCACAGATGTTCTAATTTCTCCAGATTTTACCAACACCTGTTATTTTCTCTCTCTCTCTCTCTCTCTCTCTTTTTTTTTTTTTGATAGTGGTCATCCAAATGGGTAGGGTCTCATTTGGACAAAGCCTCAACATGGAGGCTTTGTTGTGAATTTCCTTAATTGATGTTGAGCATTTTTGATGTATTGTTGGCCATTTGCATGACTTCTTTGAATAAATGTGTATTCAAGCTCTTTGCCCACTTTTAAATAGGGTTGTTTAGGTTTCTTGTTGAGTTGTAAGAGTTCTTTATATAGTCCAGATATAAACCCTTTATCAAGTACATGATTTACAAATAATTTCTCATATTCTGTAGATTGCCTTTTCACTATGTTGTGTGTGTGTTTCGATGCACAGAAGTTTTTAAGTTTGATATAGTCCAATGTATTTGTTTCTATCTTCATTGTCTGTTCTTTTCATGGTGTCATATCCAAGAAATCATTGTCATATCCAAGCTTATTAAGATTTCCCCCTATGTTTTCTTCTAACAATTTTGTGGTTTTAGCTTTTATATTTAGGTTCTTGGTCCATTTTTTAAAATTTTTTTTTAATACTCACCTGAGGATATGTTTGTTGATTTTAGAGAAAGAGGAAGGGAGGGAGGGAGGGAAGGAGGAAGGGAGATAGGAAGAGAGAGGGGGAGAGAGAGAGAGAGAGAGAGAGAGAGAGAGAGAGAGAGAGAGAAACATTAATTGGTTGCCTTCCATACACATCCTGGCAGGGATTGAATCCACAATCCC